CTGGGCTATGGCCCCATTTTCCTCACTGCCTACTCCTCTTACATCTCAGTTTGCAGCTCTTCTTTCTACTCAGGGATTTTTTTTTTTTTAACCTTCTCAGTCGATTCAGAATCTCTTCTCAACCACCCTTCTCTCCAGCTGATTAGCTAGCTGTGTCAGAGTCCAAGGACTCGAGTGCCTTGAAAAGCTCTCCTCTCAGGACCAGCAGTTAGCGTAATGGCTATGTCCCTGGACTCTCACGTAGTCGACCGCAGTTCGAGTCCTGGATCCGGTGGCTTAAACTCACGCCAGGTGCGTGTGCGTGCGTGCTCAAGATCCCGAGAGGTGAATGGAGGAGAGGGGATTGCAGCGTGGCCAACCCCTGGGGGGTGATTTCTTGCTTTCTGTCTCTCTGTCTCTGTCTGGCGAGCGCACGCGTCCTATAGCAAAAACCTCTCCAAAAAAGAAAGAAAAAAGCTCTCCTCTCCTGCTCAGCCACAGGGGAGGAGTGAGTCAGCAGTGGTCTCTGAGCTAGGCACCCACAGTTTTTTGTGGATAACCTTGGGCCAATCTCTTAACCTCAGTTTGCTGATCTGAAAAGATACTCCTACACATTTTCAAAGACCCACCTTGGGGGTTTCAGAGCAGTCCTGGCTCTACTCTGAGCACATGACTGAGCCCCTAGAAAGACACAGTGAAAGAGGAGTCCTGCCCAAAGTGACAGGGGAGGGATAATAGCAGAGATAATAGCATGGAGAGGTCTTTATCTCCTCTTTTCAAGTCAACTAGAGAATATAAGACCACTACCTGAAATGTTCTGAACCTCTGAGAGGGTACCATGGGAATGAGGGTAGAAGGAGCTCTAAGACAAGACCTATGAATAGGGCAGAGTAGGAGCTGGGGAAACGGGCAGTCCAATCAGCCCTTGTTGACTTGTTTCCATGCCAGAATACAGTGCCAATATTCAAGCTCCTGGTTTTCCTAGAGAAGCCAGAAATCTAAGTGTTTTAATGTTTACTTGTTTTCTAGTGAAGTCTCTTGACTTTAAAATGTTACCTACAAATTAAAAACTTTCAAAACCACTGAGGGCCAAAGCAAATATGTCTAGGCACCAAACTGCCCATTTGTGATTAGTGATTTCCAGGTAAGGGCTGCCCTTAGGCCCTGCTGTGTGTACTACAGTCAATTCCACCACCTTTAGTAATGATAATGTTCATTCAGGTGTCCTTCAATATGCACAGACATTATTGTAGTCAGTCCTTGCAATAGGAAAGCAAAAATTAGAGAGGTTGTCTGTACACACAACAAGTAAGTGAAGGACTATGACCAGAACCCTGGTCTGTGTGATTGCAAAGCCAAGGTTGATTCCTTGGCATAGTCACCAAGACTGGCCTCCTGTTTTTCTCAGAGTGAGACAGGAATAAAGGTGGAAGTGGTCTTAGGCATTCACCTGTTTTCTCTGAGGTGCCACAGGGTGGGTGGGCAGCCAGTAGTGGGTCTGCTGCTCACCCTTCAGGCCCCTGTCTGCCTGAAGCCCAGGTATGGTATACTGTCATTGTTTCCAGGCCAGTCTCTAACTAGACTGTAAGCTCCTGGAGTCTGGAGTCATCTTTATCCCCAACCCCCAGGGACCTCTCACAGAGCAGATGTTCACTAAATGGTGCTTGATTGCAAATGAATTAGATGCCACTGGCCTAGATCTGCTCAGACAACTTACACTCTCCTTAGATGCTCTGGATGTCTCTCTTTATTTGGGGCTTACTTGAGTTTCACATTTTCCTGGGTGACCTGGAATCCCCTGTTTCTCTTCCTCTAAAATCACAACAGTTGCTGTTTCCATCTCTCTGATAATTAGCACCAGTATTTAGTAGTTTCTTAAAATATGTTTATTGAAGTCAATGGATATTCAGTTCATAATAATTTGCATTCATATTTTGGTTTCCCAACCATGATCTGAAGCAGTTTGGAGACAGGGATCATGTTGGGACCAGCAGATGGCAGAATGGTTATGTTGCTGGACTCTCAAGTGGCCAATTGTGGTTTGAGTGAGTACTGGACCCAGTAGCTTAAAACTCAGACCGGGTGTGTGTGTATGTGTGCCCAAAATTGCAAGAGGAGAATGTAGGAGAAGGGACTACAGTGTGGCCTTCCCCGTGGGGGGTAGGGGGTGATTTCTTGTTTTCTCTCTGTCTCTCTCTGTCTCTCCAGCAAGCACTCGAGTCCTGTAGCAAAAATCCCTTTAAGAAAAAAATAGAAATGGATACAGGAGCCATGTTTTTCTCACTTTGAATGTCTCACAGCAGGGCCCTGGGTGCAGTTGTATCAAGTGTTTCCTGAAAGAGGAGCAATGAAAACCTGAAAAGCATCATGAGCCTCTCACCGACTTCGTGCCAGCATGGAGGAAGGGGTGCCTTTTTCATACTGGTTAAGAGGCTCGGGATGCCTTTTCATAATTCCTTCTAATTCCTTGTAATTTGCACAAAGGCACCATGTGGATTAATGGGGACCCCATCTCTCTCTCCCACACAGTGCCTGATATACAGATGGCTCAGCATGTTAATTTACTGAGTTCATTCAACTCAGCAAGAATCTGCCGAATGCATAGTATGCACAGATTTCCCCAAGGCTGAAAATCTAGAGATGTGGCAAAGATGAGTATGCAGGACCCTGCAGCATGTTCACTCAGGTTGGCCTGGTGCTAACTCCCCATGAAGTGAGTTGGTTTTTCTTAATGTCCTTGAAGATATTTTATGTATTCATCCTAGGTAGGCCCTGAAAAGTTGCTTCTCTAGGACTGGAACCAAAACCTGCAGAGTCAAGACCTGTATATAACTGGAGTCTAGGCAG